CTCAGGTAATCCACTCACCTCAGCCTCCCAAAGGCGTGGGATTACAGGCTGAGCCACCGGAGCCTGGCTAACTTTTTTTATTTATTATAGAGATGAAGTCTCACCAAGTTGTCAAGGTCAGTCTCGAACCAGTGGGCTCAGGCAGTCCTCTGACCTCGGCCTCCAAAAGTGCTTGGATTATAGGTTTGAGCCCACCAAGCACAGCCTACTGTCTAATTTTTAGAGACGGTCTCACTATGATGCCTAGGCAGGTCTCAAACTCCTGGACTCAAGCAACCCTCCCACCTCAATTTCCCAAAGTGCTGATTTAACAGCATGAGCCATAGTACCTGGCCTACAGTTTATTTTTTGAGTTAGTCTCACTCTGCTGCCCAGGTTGGAGTGTAGTGGCATGCTCACGGCCACCACAGCCTCGACCTGCTGGGCTCAGGTGATCCTTCCGCCTCAGCCTTCCAACTAGCTGGAACTACAGGCATGGGCCACCATGCCCAGCTAGTTTTTTGATTATTGAAGAGATGAAGTCTCACCAAGTTGTCCAGTCTGGTCTCGAAACTGTGGGTTCAGGCAATCCTCTCACCTCAGCCTTCCAAAGGGCTGGGATTATAGGCGTGAGCCATGGTGCCCAGCCCACAATTTACTTCTTAATTTATCTCCTTGAATAGAGATTTCTAAAAAGCAGATTGTTAAAATAATCTGTTTGCTATACTAAAAGCACTGTCTAGTTTTTTTTTTTAATTGAAAATGAGCAATTGTTGATTGAGTCTAGAACTCTTCTTCTGTCACCCGGGCTGGCATGCTGTGACCATGCAAATAGCTCACTGCTGCCTCGACATCTTGGACTGAGGTGACCCTTCTACCTCAGCCTTCCAAACAGCTAGAACTGTAGGCACACACCACCACACCTGGCTAATTATTTCATTTTCTGTAGAGACAAGGTCTTGTTTTGTTGCTCAAGCTAGTATCAAACTCCTGGGCTCATGCAATCCTCCTGCCTCAGTCCCCCAAAATGCTGGTAATTACAGGCATGAGCCACTTATAGCCAAAATGAGTTATTCAAACATGATTTGAACACAGGGCAGGCTGTGACAACAAAACACAAAAGACCTCAAGTCTCAGTGGCTTCTCACCCATAGGTTTATTGTTTGTTCCTCAGTTCTGAGTGTTTTGATGGTGACCCAGGCTGGGAAAAAAGCTGCCTTCTCAACCGGGTTCGGTGGCTCAGCCCGTAATCCCATGCCTTGGGAGGCTGAGGTGAGTGGATTGCCTGAACCCGCAGGTTCGACACCCGCCTGGGCATATTGGTGAGACCTCATTTCTACAATAAATAAAAAATTAGCCAGGCATGGAAGTACACACCTGTAGTTCCAGCTACTTGGAAGGCTGAGGCGGAAGGACCGCCGGAGCCCAGCAG